GGCTGAGATAAGAACAGATAGTAAAGCAGCAATTCTAGCAATCAAGAGGGGTCTAGAAAATAGTAGAGTTAGGCAATGGCTGAAAACCAAAAATGAGGCCTTGTCACAACTATAGCAGAGGTGATAAAGACAAAGAGGAAAAATATTTGTCTTACAAAGATCAAGGGTCATTCGGGTAATATATTGAATAATCTGGCAGATATAGAAGCCAAAAAAGGAGCTGCTTCTACAAAGTACTTAGTTCCAGAAATACTAAGTGCAAAAGAATATAAGTTAAGATTTATATGAGAAGGAAAAATAGTAGAAAAACCTATCCGCTCCTTTATTAAGATGCTTGGAAAAATAATAAACAGAGTTGAATAGACCTTTTTATACAACACTCACAATACAACACACCAAGAAAGAAAGGCTATACAAATATGGCCGATTTTCTATAGGTAGTGCGCATTTCGCTGACAATCACTTTACCGACAGCTTAGTTCACCGACAATTAATTAACCGACAAGTTCATTTCACTAACAATTATTTTACCGACAACATTTCACCGACAAAATAATTCTGGTCATTGTTGTTAGTATTAGATTAAAATTAGAGCTAAGGTTAGTGTAATTTATAAAAAATACTTGTCAGTGAAATAAGCTATCAGTGAAATAATTGTCGATGAAATGAACTTGTCTGTAAATTGATTGTCAGTGAACTAAGTTGTCTGTGAAGTGATAGTTAGTGAAATAACACATATCCATTTTCTACAAGCTACTAGCCAACAGAACCAAACAATGAAACTACACATCCAAGACAAATACGATATAGCTCTTTGAAATTAAATGTATAAATAACATGCTTCCGGTACTTGAAAAGCTTAATCAAAGAAAACCAGAAGTATACTAAACAGATAAATGTGTAATATGTAAAAAAGAAAAAGAAACTATAGAACACCTGGTGAGTTGTAAGATATCAGTAAGCTTTTTTACAGTATAGAAGAGCAAGAAGTAGAGGTGACTCTTATAGAAATTAAAGATACAGAAAGGTTGGAAGAAAAGAAAGAACATATACTTGCAATATTAGAAAAAGGAAGTAAATCTGAAGAGATTCGAAGAAGAAAAAAATGAATTAGAGGTTTAGTTACAATAGAAGACTTTAAGGAGTTGAGATTCTATTTTAACTCCAACAACCAGACGAAGAGCTTCATAGTAAAACTTTGGAAGAATTAGATGAAAAAGGTGTATGAAAAAATATAGATCCCAAGATGCAAGTTAGTACAAGAATAGGAAAAAGAAAATAGCATTGCTTCAAGAGAAAGGAAAGGGTCTTATGAAAAGTTCAAGAAAAGAAACAAGAAGAAGAAGGTGAAAAAAAATGAGGCCCAAAGTGAATCTTTTAAAAAAAACTAATGAAGGAAAGAGTAAGAAGAAAGAAGAGAATATAAGGTGGGAATCGGTATTAAAAATCTCAAAGAAAGAAGTACTAAGTTGGATTGAAGGTGGTTAATATTCAGAGTGGTAGAAAGTTAATATGTAGTCTTGACAACCAGTAAGAACTGCCGTTGAAGTACTATTGAAGCTAAATGCAAGATAAGATAGTACATAGGCAAATCTTACTATAGCAGGTCACATATAGGTACTCAGTGAGCAACCAAATGAGTCTTTATTTGTAATTTAGGTACCGAAGAGTTTAACTCTTTGAAAAATTTTAATAGTTTAAAGAATTATTACAAAGCCGAATAAAGTGAAGCCAAGACTGCCGAATTTATAAAAAAAAAAAAAAAATACACTTTTATTGGATGCATTATCGTTATACTTATTATCTAAATATTTTTCAATTATATAACTACAAAATGACATTCTTATATTAACAGTTTCATAATAACAATTAATAATAATCACATTCCTTAGAATTAGTGGTTATAGATTATGTTATTAATTTAATAACAATAATAATAAGCAATTGCCAATTTATAAATTCATTGCAAGATTGAAGTTAAGATATTATTTATTTGTTTTTATGCTTGTATTTCTTAAAGATTTTTTTTTATACAAAACAGTACAAAAACAATTTAGAAAAAAATACTATGACGTAATGGGTTTTGACAGATTTTGACTATTTAATAGCATTGAATAGATAACTATGTGAAAAGTTACCCAAAGTATAATGTTGCTATACAATATAAACAAATTAGTTGTATCAGTTATTATAAATGTGATATAGATATGTTTCTAAATATTTCTTTATGTAATCTTTATAAAAATAAAATTTTGAACCTTTAGCGTTGATGGTTATAAAATAAGATAGCATTTGACTTTGTTATAAAATGTGAATTCACTAGTTTTGAATTCGGAATATTATTACGTAACCATAAAATATAGCTTTATGCAAGTAATCAATCAATTATCATTATATATTTACAGTATACTAGTTACAATACTTTATATAAAATCCCATTTATTTGCATATATACTAGCTAATACCAATTTCAGAATCTATTAAAAGACTTTGCAATTCTTCTAACAGTGCAATCATAGTTAACGAAATAAATACAAAAAAGTTGTTAAAAGGAAAACTTAAATTATTTGTTAATAACTAAAATCATAGAGAATCATGTAGTGCTGGACCTATAGTATGAAAAAATGCGGACAAGGTTTGAGCTACTCCATTAGCAGTATCTAATATATTAATAGGTGCAGAGTTTTAGAGCTACAAACATAAAAGTTTAGCTATAAATTTAAAAGTTCATTCTTTAATAAAAAAGATTTTGATAATTACAAAAAATATACATGAACAATAAGAAAAAACATCAACAATTGCTTAATCTCTAAAGCAAATATAGTAAATATTAGAGAGTGTCAAATTCTATTATCAAAAGAAAATAAAGATATCGCAAGCCTGTTGATTAGAGGAAATAACAAATAGGCTAGATTTTTTACGTTTTCTTTGTTAGTTGTTAAAGGATAAATTACAAAATGAACAATAAAATTTACAATTTCACAGAATTTAAGATCAATGCCAATTGGTGTCACTAAACCCTAGTTCTCCTAATTTTGTATTAGTAACTAAATAAATCACATAAACTTCATCAAATGAAACAGTATAAAAACCTAGAATAACATAACTAATGATACAAATTCACGTATTTGATAGAATGCTAAAGATGGTGTGAATTAGAGAATTTGAATCAGATGATCTTATATCAGCATTTGAATGCAAAAGGAGTTTTCGTTTAGAATTAAAAAAATGAGTTTCAGGTAGTAGAAAATATCCAACAATAAGTCTAGTGAAAGAAATTAAGGCTATAAAAGTACATGGAAAAAAATAGAATCATTTATAGATATAAAAGTTTCTTCAGTTCTTAAAAAACATATCGATATCATGTGAATATTAATTGTTAAATATAGGTAAAATCTCAAAATTATTTATTAAACACAAAAAAATAAACAAAAAAATCAGATCTTTGCTCTGGATACTTTTTATATAAAGACAACATATACATATAATAAAGACTACATAGTTAGAACTATCATATCCAGATCTATTGATTACCTAGTATATATAATCTTGATGAATTTTTTTTTAAAAAAAAGTTAAAAAGAAAAGAAAACACTCCTCTAAGAATCTTTTTATATGTTATTTAGTAATCGGAATTATAATCTGAATACTCTGACAATGACTCTAACAATGACTCATAATGTCGATGTTGATGTCGATGGATTTGGCATCACTTAGTTAAAATAGTTAATTAAATAATAATAATTAAATCATCTAAGTTGAATAAAAAAATCATCTTTTTACATTACAGAGTTCGCAACCCCTAGGGTAAGCAGGGCAAGTACAGTAAACCACTATTACATAATAGTGACAATAAGTATAACAACACATTTGAGTAAGAATTTTCAAAAGCAGACAGAGATTTTTCTGATTTTAAAGTTATTATATTATTTAAAAAACAGGGACCCAAAAAATAATATATAAAATTCTGTCACTTTCAAAAATAATTATCCATTTATTAAATAAAATAGTTAAAAAAAAAAAGAAACTAATTTATATTATTTATAGCTTTTAAAAAAGGAAAGCTACCGTACAAAGATAAGAAAATGTATCATGGATTATTAATCAAACAATCGTAAGTCCTAATAGAAATGCCCAATTCCTAAATTTAGAATTTACATACCAATAAAGCAATCTAATTCCTTGATAGATAAGAAAATATATTATGGATTATAAGTTTACTACAAAGAAAAATCAATTTTGGGGTTAAATCTTTTTACTAATTTGTGATTTAAAAACTTTCTACCATTAGGCTATATAAATACACGGCTTCACTGCTTTCACTATTCTCCCTTTTTACTCATTAATTGTTAAGAGACAAAAAAACTTCAATTATGACATTGCTGAGTTCTATCGATTTGCACGATCTTTTTATTGCGTCAGGCCAAAATAGCTATATTATAATTGTACCCCAAGTTTGCAACCTCTATAGAGAGAAAAAAACAAATAAGGATAGCGAATATGATTTTGCCATTGCCAGTATTATTAAATTACATATAATAAAAGTAATTCAAAGAAAATTTGATATTCATGTAACAATTGTCAATACCTATATCAGGTCTTTTCCTAGACACCTCGAAAAAAACCTCAAAAATGAAAGAATCACCATAAGCTTTGATACATGGGTCGCAAGAGGATTTCTTAAGTTTAACTTGAAGGATGAAAATATTATATATTTGAATTATGATATCACAATGCTTGGATTCTCTACTAACGGAAATGCAGATTTATTCAAGCTTGAGTAAAATGTAATTTATTTTTATGCTTGTTTCTTTATATTGTTATATAGGGGCTTTCCAAATTTCTTCAAAAAGCCTATATATATTTATATATAGTTGCTAGATATAATATGTAATACATTTCTGAAATGTTTACTAGCTACAATTACCATCAATTTTTGCTCTAAATTAGATATGTTGGAAATAAGTTTTGTCTTAAAAATATATAGATTATTATATTATTTCTTAATCTGTAGGCTATTCTAGGCAAATTTGTCTAGAAAATGTATAACAATATCTATGATCTAAAGTTAAAATATTTAAATAAATTTTTTTTAATAATATTTGAAAATAAGAATTATATAATTGTAGTATTTGTTTTTATTTTATAAAAAAAAAATATAAGTTGTCCATATATACTAAAATCATATAACTTTAAAGAAATTTTTTTATTCAAAAATTTTTATTACTTATTCTTGATAAACTTATTAATTATTAGCTATCTGCTTTTTTTAAACTTAGGATTACATAGGATTTATCAAGAGAAACAATCTTTATTATTACAATTTTTGTAATTTAATTATAAAAATTTAAACTTGTCTTAGAGCTGAAATTTTTTTTAGCTTCAGGAATACATAAAATTTTAAAAAAATTAATTATAAAAAATTTAACATAATGCTAAGATATATATATATTTAATCATGTAATGGTTATATTATTATATTTTTTAAACAATTATCAATATATATAATGATAAATATCTATACTTAATATTTTATATTAATTTAAATTAAATACGAAGATTTAACTAGAACCAAAGTGCTTAACGTTAATTTGGCGTTTAAAAATATTTGCTTTTTGTAATCTATTATCTGGATTGTTTTAAAGTAATAAATTTTAATACTAACAAAAAAAGAATAGAATTTTAGATAAACTCTTAATTTTGAATTGCAAAGTATTCATTAAAACAATTAACTATTTCAAATAGATTTATAGCGACAGATTTTAAAGTGCATTTTTGAAATTAAAATATTAATTGTCAGAAAATCAATTACAGTTTTTTCTATTTAACACTCTTCAATAATAAATTATATATGGTTACTATAAATAAACATTTTGTATAAATTAAATTGCATCTCATGCATTCATTATTTATATTATTAAATGACTATATTGAGTTTAACAGTTTATCTCAGTTATTAGGAAGAAGTAAATATAATTGTTTTGACTGTAATTCTAAAATACTTCCAAGATTATTATTATTATTATTTTTTTTTTTAATATTAAGGTGACCACTTAGGTCCCCAGCACTTAGCTTTATTCAGGTAATTACGATATTACATCAATTTCACGAGGATACAACTAGCTACACGTGAACTTTTGGTACCTAATTTAAGTAGTCCACC